TGTCACAAAGAACATTTCACTTTTGTAATGTAAAAAACATTTAAGTGTACTTTTTGAAAAAGAGAATAGATTAGCTATTACAATCAACTGCTCAACTGCTCACGGTGAACTAGTGCAGTTTGAGTTTAACATTACAGCAGGGGGCTGTACTGCCACCTCGTGGTAGTTTACTGCCACCGTAAATTGCCTATCCAAAAGTTTCTGAATCTCAGCGCTATTGCCGTTTTGGGCGGGACAATTCTTTTTCGCGGGGGTTGTCACGTGCATTGTAGGATGTTTAGCAGTATCCCTAGCCTCTATCCTCTAGGTGACAGTAATATCCCCTCCCCCCGTTGAGACAACCAAAACTGTCTCGAGACGCTGGCAGTTGTCTCCTGAAGGGGGAAAAAAATCACCCCTGGTTGAGAACCACTAATGTGCAAGAACGAGTCTTGTGAGTGCAAAGTAGAGAAACAAAAGGTGTTCATTCATTCACTCATAAGAATATCGCACCAGGTAGTCTTTATAAGATAATTTCCTCATGTCAGTTAGAATGAGTGTTCTAACCCACAGGTGCACACACACACAATTATTTTCATAGCTTGAAGAAGATATTCTGTAGTTTAAACTCAGTAACAAGAAAACCTATTTTCATCCAGTAAATACCTAATTGCCCACAGGGCAGAAGCAACAACAATGCAAAGCCTGCCACACGTGTCCAGACTCCATTCCCAGGCCCAGGGCAAGACTTAAAAGCACTCTGGGCCTGGCACGGTGGCTCAACGCCTGTAATCCCAGCACTTTGGGAGGCCAAGGCGGGCAGATCACAAGGACAAGAGATCGAGACCATCGTAGCCAACATGGTGAAACCCGATCTCTACTAAAAATACAAAAATTAGCTGGGCATGGTGGTGCGCGCCTGTAGTCCCAGCTACTTGGGAGGCTGAGGCAGAATTGCTTGAACCCAGGAGGTGGAGGTTGCAGTGAACTGAGATGGAGCCACTGCACTCCAGCCTGGCGCCTGGCTACAGAGCAAGACTCTGTCTCAAAAAAAAAAAAAAAAGCACTCTGTACCATGGCTTCATCACAGTGCTCCAGTCATTACCACTAAATGTAAACCAACTCCTTCCTGTCCCTCATTTAGCCACTAATTTTCCCTACTTCAAAACATCCCTATGCCCACTGCTCTCCCAGATGCTCTCTATGGTCTATATGTCACAGAAAGGCCTTTTTTTATGCAGGATGGGGAGGTTTGTGGAAACTGGGCTCTGCTATCCACTGCCCTCACCCCAAATAGCATGAGCATATCATTTAACCTTTCCAGATCTCTATCTCCTCACTCACAAAATAAAATGCCCTTAATAGATACTCAAAGTTCCCTTTCGGTTCTAAAATCTATGACCAGGGATGATTACAAATGATCCACTGTAGGCTTTTTATACAATTGTAAGTAATTTCTCCAGTAAGGATTGTTCTACATACAATTAGGTTGGTGTTACTGGAATCTTTTTCTTCAATTTCTAGCGTTGGGGATCCTATAAAAACCATAATACTGAATAACCAAAGAATCCTAAGCCATAGCTTTACTACATAGTTATTGTATTTCTAGGGTTTTGTCAATGTGCATCATCTGATGTCAATAACGTACAAATGAATATTGTCTAATGTCTTCCCACTTTCATTATAGTCATATTTATTCCAGGCCTAATATATGAAGCTGATTAAGTGGATACCTGGATTAATCTGAAGTGCTTCCTAATTCTCCGTGTTGCTGTATCCTATCCTAAGAATCTTCCTACTAGGATGAATTGGCATATCTTCTGATACAGTCAACTTTGGCACACCAAGAAAAAACACTCATGGAGAGGAATAAACTACACATGAATGAACTGGCTAGGCCTCTAGATTCACTGGAGTCGCACTCTTACACAAGGTTACTTCCATAGTCAGCATGTAAGATGAAAACAGGGAAATACCAATATTGTCTTTATAAATCCTTGAATTTGCACATAAAATATAGCTGGTTTTGTGTATAGCTCTGATAATAACTCATATATAAATAAATAAATAATAGAAATTTATACATATATGTAAAATATAATTTTATACTATTCTTAATTACACTAATTTATTTTTTTGTTTGGGGGGGATATCTTGGTGCATATGAGTGAATTCTTGTTAAGTAAAATGTAAGTATTAGATGATTTTTCCTGAGATGGTTATCTCAAGCCACTGCATTTTGTGTAGATGACTCTTGGCAAAACATACCTAGCAGTCATCAAGTATATATCTAACATGTCAAAGGTCTTAGAAGAACAATTTTTCGTTGAAAAACTCTATTTCATGTGATTTTTTTAACCACATGAAAGTATTATTTTGTTTAAAATCAGCAACGAAAGACCTAAACAAAAATAGGTTTCCCTCATCATCATCATCATGATATGAAAATTATGGTCCCTGGTGATGTTAAAATTGAGAATAAGGCCAAATGTTAATATCAAACCAAAATGATCATGTTTCACAGGCATATGTGAGTGATATAAACAGTGAGTGGCACTGGTATTCAGAGGAGGAGATTTTTCTAAGTTACAGTGGACAAAGAAGAGGTAAGGGAGGAAGTGATACCTTAAGCTGGGTCCTAAAGAGGACTAACTTGTAAACTGAAAAGAGTGATAATGTGATAACTGCCTCTTAACTTAAAGAAAACCTAAAAAGTATTAATGCCAAAAAGACAGAAAGCCCTGCTTTAATCACTAAATACCTCTTCCTGCAATCTTCAAATCAAGCCTGGGGTCACCCTAGCTTGATTTGATATACACCTATAGATATATAGGTGTATATCAAATGATATCAAATAAAAATCTGAGTTTAGAAATAGCCACTTATGACAAAATATGCCTCTGACCTTGGCTGTCCATAGCTTGAAGGATTTTACAGACATCTACATAATAAGGCTTCAAAGATAATCTCAGAGGACAGAATATAAACTTAGTCAGGGAAAAGTATGACCATTTATTGGGTTCAGGATCTGTGTGATCCATTACTCTGCAAATGAGGTTCCCTGGGACCAAAAATCCCTAAAACAAAACAAGAAGTGCAATGTTACAGTTGGAGAGGTGCTTAAAGACCTCCAGGCTCAACTCCTTCATTTGCAAATGGAGAAAGTGACCAATTTCATACAACAAGAAAAAGGGAGTCACAGCAGTAAAAGGCAGCAGTGCCCACCCCAGCTGTCATGGTCACAGACACCTTCAGCCACACCCCATCATGAGTATTCCAAGCCCATGGTGAGCCTGTGGCCATCTTAGGTCTGTTCCACCACACACGCTCCACTAAACTGCATGTGTCATATCATTCACCCCTGCACCCTAAGCACCAAGCACAGTGTACTTGGTAGACAGCAGTCCCTAAGTATTGTGAATGAATTAATGAATGAGCCCCAAATTCCCCTGGTCTGATTCTACGCCCAACAGGCAAACTTCTGCTTGTGATTTACTTCTCCATTTTGATTTTTTGCCTATAGGGAGAAAACTGCTGATTAACTTTGAGCACTTCTTTGAGCTTATCTCAAGGTAGTAGGGTTACATGCTATTTATCTTATTCTACATATAATTATATATTTTCCTAATATTCTACAGTTTATTATTTCTTCAATCCTCTCTCCACCCATCTCCATCTCCATTTCCAAAAAGCAATACTTAAAGCTCCTTGTGGATTTGTTTGGGGGAAGAAGTAGTTATTTCTTTCTTTCTTTTTTTTTTTTTTTTTTTTGAGATAGAGTCTCGCTGTTGCCCAGGCTGGAGTGCAGTGGCGTGATCTCGGCTCACTGCAACCTCTGGCTCCTGGGTTCAGGTGATTCTTTTGCCTCAACCTCTCGAGTAGCTGGACCTATAGGCACGTGCCACCATGCCCTGCTAATTTTTTGTATTCTTTAGTAGATATGGGGTTTCACCATGTTAGCCAGGATGGTCTCAAACTCCTGACCTGTGATCTGCCTGCCTCGGCCTCCCAAAGTGCTGGGATTACAGGCGTAAGCCACCGCATCCAGCCACAGAAGTAGTTATTTCTAGACCTCAGTCATTATCAAAGTATAGTGTAAGGTTTATTGCTGAGGTAAAATGAGGAAACTGAGGCAAGTATTAAGAAAATGAGAAACTAATTTATTTAGCTCCCAGGCAAGGTTCTGTGGTCCAAGAAGGGGCCAAAGAAGTCGCACCCAGCTGTTCACGACGTGGGGTTTTATAGGGAGGGGGGGGCAATTGATTGGCTATTGGGAAACAAAGTGAAGGCAATTTCATTGGCTCTTGAGAAACAGGACATGCATGGAGTGAGCTATCATTGGTAGGTAGACGGGACTTTGGGTAAGCGGGCCTTGATTGGCTACTGGGGAAACAAAGCAAAGGCAACTTTATTGGCTGTTGAGAAACAGGACATGCATGGAGCGAGCTGTCATTGGTAGGCAGGCGGGACTTTGGGTAAGTGGGCCAGCCAGGGGCGTACGGGGCAGGCTGCTACTGGGTAGGGTTTGGTGGGGCTTCTTTAAATATTTTGGCGGGGTTTTTCAACAGCGGGCTGGGGGTTGAGTGCATAGTTTGGTGCTGAGTGTGGGCTGAGGTCAGGATATTAGAGGAAAGCCAAACAGACTAGAGATAGACTGTGGAAGTCCCTTCTAATCTGGGGCATCTCTTTGTATCTCCTTAAGAGAAAGTACTTTTTAAGAGAAAACTGAAAAGGAGACGAGGAGCAGTCCCTAATTCTGCCAGAACTGAGCAGCAGGGCCATGGATCCTGGGGACGCAGGCTGAGTTCACAGAAGGTTCAAGGGACTAGGGCTTGCCCATGTGCTATAATGCTAAATCCAGTCATCAGCTTCTCCATACCTATTTATTTATCCTCTTCCAAGGAGTCTGACTTATCCTACACTCATCCTTCAGAGAGGCAGCTTGTATAATGGAAAGAGTATGGAAGTAAGGTATCTTGTTTTTTTCAGAGCTTCAAATAAAAAGGGAATATTAGTAAAATCAGGCACTTTCCATAAATCATTATTTACAGATGAGGAAACTGTTAACTTGCCCAAGGTCTCTGTGCTGCCCACACACATTTTACAAGGTTGCTGTGAAGAAAGACTAAAATGAGGTTGTGTGTGCACACTGTAGATTCCTAGCTAACAGCAGGACCTTCTCTTATTTCTACTTCTTACCTCTGTTCTGGAGATTGCAGGTCCAATCCTCCATAATCACAGCCTTTGCTCCACTACTTGGTGTAAGGCCGGTTGCCTCACTGGGAGCTGGGACAGGCCCATCCCTCTCCATGCTTGAAAATTACGTCACCAGAATCTGCACTCAGCATCTAGCTTCGCCACGCCCACCTCTGCACTCAACACTAAACTCTGCACTGGGCACCTAGCCAGCCGTTCAAAAACCCTGCCAAAATTTAAAAGAGCCCCACCAAGACCTGCCCAATAGTGTATTGCCCCATCCAGCCCGCTCACCAGAAATCCCGCCTACCTACCTATAGCAGCTTGCTACGTCCATGTCCTGCTTCTCCACAGCCAATCAGAGTGCCTTCCCTCCATATATAACCTTATGCCTGAGAGGAGTCAGGCTGACTTCCCTGGCCTCTTTGCCCGGGACCACAGACCCTCTCTTGAGCGGAATAAATTGGCGTCTAATTGTTCTCATGCAGGCCTCAGTTTCCTCATTTTTTAAACTCGGCAATAGACCTCACAGAGAATAAACCTTACACTTGGGTGTAGCAACCTTTCCATTCTCACATATCTTCCTGGGAATTGCCAGCATTCTCCCAGAAACTCTGGCAAGAAATTCTGGATTGAAGTTTTCTCCTTTTCCATTGTATTTCTTTTTCCATTCTCTGAGACTCTACTCAGAATGTAGAGTCTGAAGCAGTATCTTTTGAGCTAAAAGCTAAACTTAAGAACTTCAGCAGCCATTTAATCTTCAGGAAACCCTAAACACAGGCAAGTCTGAGTACCCAGTGCCCTGAAGAGTCAGATACTGGGAACGCAGACAGTTACAGACAGCAGTAAAGGTAAGGTTCCTGATGAACACACAAGTGCAGGGTGGTGGAAAGGCCCCTGCTGGGAGTGCCTGGATTCTAATTTCCACAATGTGATAGTTGGCTGGGTGACCCAGAACACGTTACTTTTCCTTCCTGGGTGTTTCCTTCTTATGTACAAATGGGGAAATGGCTGAAAAAAATCGATGACACATTGATGCCTGACTTGGTGTCTGGCCCTGTGTCAACTGTTGCATGTCAAAATTCCATTTAATCCTCACAACCACCACTTAAAAGTAGCTACAATACAACAAACCTCAAATTACAAGAAAGGAACCACAAAGAGTAACCTGCCTACACTCATATCAAAGAGCAATACCACTCTCTGAAAATGTAGATACACATCCCCTCCTACATTCACACTGTCAGTCTATAAAACGGTTCTGCCATACTGCAGACCTAAGGGACTCGTTGGTGCCTGACCTGGCCCGGACATGGGAGCCTTGGGCGCTACCTGCCTCACCTTCCAGCCAAGTGCTCCAGGCTACGCGGGCCCTCAGCCTGTTTTCGAGCAAACGACCCAGAGGTGTCTCGGATAGGAAACAGACATGCACCCCACTGCCACACACACAAAGCCCAAAGACACGCTCCAGGGGCAGAGGGGGCGCGTCAAGGTGGCCGAGTCCCAGCTCCAGCAGAAGAAATTAGATCTGCGGGCCTGGGGGAAGGCCCAATGGGGAGCAGCCGGGACACCAAATCTGACAATCCACTGCTGGACACTCACACCCTGTCCAGCGTCTGCTCCTCCCCGGTCCAGACACGGGGAGGGTCTCTGCAGGGAAGGACAGGGAGGACACAAGACGCGCCACGCGCAGAGCCCGTACACACAAAGGAGCCGGAATCGGAAGTACGTGCAGAGGCTCCTGGGAAATGTAGTCGGGCGCGGCCCGGTCGCCGGACTTGAACTGGCGGTAGTCGGGCTGATGTGAGAACCTGCACTGACCCCCAAAATACCCGGCTTGTTCTACCGCCAGAGACAAGCTCTTGCGCGGCCCGAAAAGGAAGGTTAACGTTGGTGCCCTGGGGAAAGCAGACTGGAGCCACTCGGGGCGTTTAATAAACCATGGAGGACTATTGTGAATTTTTTAGGGAGAGACAAGGGGAAGTCGGGAGAGCAGAAGTCCAGTCCCTTTATCGCGCTCCACGAAATAAACAGGGCTGCAGCGCCACTTCTGAGCGCCCAACACCACAGTCACACACCTGAGGTCCTGCCTTGTGCCAGGATCCTAACGAATGAGCCTCACTGTCACATTCTGGTTCAGTGGTTCCCACGCCCCTGCAGCCGAAGCAGGTGGTCCTCCGATGGGCGTTTGGGCTCCTATCACAGAAGTTCTGTGTTCCAGTTCATGGAGAGCTGGGGACCTCCCTGGGCCATCTTACATGCCCCTGCCCAGAAAAGTGTCCCGTTATTCCTATTTCTTATTTCCTGTTTCCTAGCTACTTACATATCTTATCACATTCCTCCAAATCCCTTAGTGATTGATTTTATATTTATGCAGGTTCCATTCCGCACCACACTCTCCATGATGGACCCTTCAGGATATAGTTCTACTCGGTTCTACTGGTACAAGAATGAAGACAGTTGAGTTATTGCTCTCTTTTTTGTCGCTTCCAGAATCAGGAGGTGGCAAGAACCAGCTTTTAGGACAGCCTCAGGCTTGCAACTAACTCCACCGCCAACCACACCCCTCAGGAGAACAGCTGTACCTAAATCCAGCCAATTTTTGCCCCTGTGCTCTAGATCCTGTCTTCCTGAGCGCGTTTCTGGACAGAATGTTCTGGGCATCCACAAAAATGCTATTGTATTATCTGGGCATGGTGGCGTGTGCCTGTAATCCCAGCTGCTCAGGAGGCTGAGGCAGGAGAATTGCCTGAACCCAGGAGGCGGAGGTTGCGGTGAGCCGAGATCGCGCCA